GAAAAAGAAGTGAAATGCAAAGCAGATGTCTCATTTCAATAATTTTCGAGGAAAAAGAAAAGCTAGTCTACGAGACTAAACTCATCAAACTTTCGCGAATGCTGTCCATGTCTCATTTAACCCAGTCTGTGTTCTTTACCAAAAATTCTGTTTTCCGTCTCTGCAGTCTGCACTCCCTCTCTAGTTTCACTGAAATGACTGATACCAAACGTCGATCGATAAATACTAGGGCTTCATGAGTAGTTTTGGGTTTCTGCAGAAAATTAATTGTTAAATTCTAACTTTCTAAGAAGTAAAAAAAAAACGGTGCTGTGAAGTCTCGACCACTTTCTAACTATTTTGTACTTGTGCATCTGGTTCATCGTGAATAACTTTAGAACGAAATTGCTAAGGCGCAAGATGAATCAATTATTACCTCTTAACTCGTTGTGGTCATGGCTTTGCGTAAGATGTTTTCCTACAAACACCACTGCGATAAGTACGGCAATGGACACTATGATAGCAACAATGGTTATCAAACTTTTTCGACGGCACCTTGCGAGACAATTGATAGCTGCTGACACATGTCTGCCTCTGGTTTCTGATGGCTGTTCCTCTGGACCTTCGCGTTTTGAATGAACACGATCGACAACGATTGTCTGTTTCTCTTTGGACGCCATATCTTTTTCTCTGCCATAAATGTCGGATTTACTTCTTTTTTATCGGAAATTTTAGCGACTTACTGTGCTTTAAAGCTGCTTAAGGGAATGAGGAAATATTTGCCGAGAAAATCAATGCCGACATGGAGCGATTTAGACAATCTCACTCCACTAACGAGATCTAACCTGGGTCAAGACCCCTTTCAAAGGCATGACTTTTTGTTATGTTTTTTTTTCCTTTTAATGTGAAGGTCAAATTTTATTTGGTTTGCAATCACATGGTACAATCCAGGATTTACTGAAGATGGGTGTGCATAAATGTCCGATGAGGCGGACAGTTTAATCCTCGGAAAAGTTAATTTCGTATGTTTTATGGGTTCATCATTGGTTGTTTGGAGCCTTTGGACCAATCTCGGTTTTAAGTCATTATAACATCCATCATGTCCAAATAAGTTCTTTATCAGAAAGCGCGCTTGCTTACACGTTTTTCATTTCAGTCTAGGGACTCGATCGAACCACCCAAGCACTCTTGGGTGGTTCACACTCACACCCCAGATTTCCAAGGGGTTAGTGACACGTTTGCCATAACATCTTGTGCAAGCAAAACTGAAATACTATTTCATCGTTAAATCATGATATCATTACAAAATAACTTAGATCCTACAAGCTCTCTGATAGGTCAAAAACTGATCGTTTACTGCATCGCTAAACCCGTGAAAAATTTGAACATACTGGGTTTGGTTTTAAGTTTATTTCATAAAAGCAAGAGACTGCACTCCCCTTCGGATAACTAGCGTAATAACACATTTGAGATTTTGGAAGAATATGAGGAAAGCTTTTAATTCACTCGCCTCCGGCTCGTGATTAACATAATTTTTTCGTGTTCTCCCAACATCCTGCATGGGTTTTAACACTGGTAAACCGATAGAAAGTGCGGTCTATTGCTTAAACAAACAGCTAAGTGCAGTAAATAATCTTTGTTACGTAATTAGTTTATATCACAATTCCGTGAAGTGGATCAAACGTTGGAAAAATACATATCAGAATGGTGGCTTTCAAGAATTTTTTCTAAGTGTACATTTGTGCAACAAGGAAAAAAGGATACGACTTATCTGGTTGAAAAATTTTACGTAACTTCTATAATTAGGACGATAATTAAATGCGAAGAAATCAAATATTCCTGCCAAAAATTAGCTTATTGTTATAATATTTTAAAAACGAAGAATTTATCCAATTGTTTTAATTATCCATAGAGAGCCTTTAAGTTTTAATACTCTGTCGATTTTGGCACGGACACCCATACAGCGTGTCTTACCAGAGGAATCGAGCACCCTCCGATTCCGATAAGGTACCGCACCAAGTTGTTGCTGTGGTTACTGATACGGTTTGGATTAGCGAATTTGGCAAGTTCATTTATAAATAAATGTCAGTTTTTACAACCCTCATGGGTCGGCACAATGAAATTGACATACGCCCCAGCAGGAATGTACACAATTTTCCCTTTTTTAGTCTACAAAAGACAATATAACGACTGCTTATTTCTGTGCTCTTCCGTGACGACACACTGAGATCATCGTTCGCGACACGCATGTCAGGTGGTCTTGTGACAGTTGTTGCACGCATTCGTTTTAAAATAATCCAATGGCTGGTATATTGTTTTCAAAAGAGATTATATATGGAAAGAATGGTTCTACTGTTTTTTACTACTGGAGTAAAAAAGTGTCACATAGTAAACATCTCCTGGTGAGGTAAATGCTAAGGAAATTAAACAAAGCGTAATTGAAAGGTTCGTTGTACGCATTTACTTCGGTTAGCTTTGAGATCAATTATTTTTAGCACGTAAAGCTGTTTTCATGCTTCGCCGTTCTAGAAAGATGGATGGGAATGTAAGATGCGATAAAATTTGGGCAAAGTCTCTCGGCTCTGGAAACAGCAAGTTTACGAATGATTTGGTGAGTGGATTTTTTCCCTAGCTTACAGTATATCTGAGAATTGATACATCATCAAGAGAGCTTTCAAATTAATTTTGTTAATAGTATTACAATAAGAAAAAAAACAAAACAACAACAACATCGGCGAAATTAAAAGTTAGCATGTGGAATTACTCACGCCATTTCAGCAGTAAAGGATATGGACTAGTCCTCAACAGCGGATGCACATTTTTGAGCAAAATAAAATAAAAGGACAACCAAGG